TCGGGAAAGAACCGTGGTTTAAAGAAACCCGGGATTAAGCCACTAAAACAATGACTACAATGGCCATAAGTGTGCTCATGTAATTACAAATGTTTCACTAGCAATTAAGCACATGTCACAAAAATCAAAGTCTAACACTCCAACACTCCACCTCACACTTAAGAATGTTCACTGTCCTTAATCACATCCACAACACACCTCAATAAGAGATATGCCATGGTCGTATGCAATAATAATTACCCAACTAGGAGTCGGGGTTGAATCCACTGGGAGTTATGATGGGGAGTTAGGAGTATATATTTAAAGCAAGCAAATGGGTTATCTAGATTGCACTTTCATAATAAGTTTTGGTTTCTTATTTCTACTGTTAATCTAATGATTGCAAGATAAAGAAAATACACTAGAGATAAATGTTTTTAAGTTTTTTTTTTCAAATGGGTAAAAGGCCTAGGGCTGTGACCATAACCTAGGTGTTTGCCTAATGGGATAAAGATGTTAATGCTTGTTTTGTTGATTGGGGTGTGTTATAGCTCTCAACTCTATGTTACCCACTCAATACCTCTCGATCAGAGAGTGCTTTTGCCCAATTTGGCTTTCTCAAGACCAAATGGGTATCATCCAAAACTGCTGATAAGAGCTCAAGTCGGGTTATCACTATCTTTAGGTTGAACCCTTTAATTGGGTTAATCAATCTCTCAATTGACCAAATTTCTTATTAGCTAAGTTATCCTAGACTAGGTCCCTCTTTTTCAAGTGGAGACAAAGTCAAATAGGCATGAACTAATGTTTGCAACCATAAATTCTACAATTAAAGCATGAACTAAGCTAAATAATCAACACCCAATCATAAACAAGCACTAAATTAGATACCCATAAGGTTTATACACTAGGGTTGGGTCACAAGCCTAGTAATAGTCTAGCTACTCATAATGATATTTGAAGAAAATAAGGAAGAAAAGCTAATTAAACTCATAATGGGAGGATTAAAATGATTAAATCTAATCTAAATACACCAAAGTAATGTAAAACTTCCTAAAGTAGTAAAGAAAAATGGCTACAGCAACTTCAGATGCTCAAAACTTGACCTAATTTTTTGAAATTCGTCTATTTATACATGGCTGAAAATCTCGGACAAAAATACCCCTCGGGAGGTTCTGCGGCCGCATAATTCCATGTGCGGTCTGCAGATTTCTTCAGCTGGCAGGAAGTGGAGTTCTGCGGCTGCAAATTTTTGGATTGCGGCCGCGAGGCAATCTTATGCGGCCACACATTTCTTGTGCGGTCCGCAATTCACAAAGGCACTTGGTCTTGGTCTTTTTTCATACTCTCTGATCTTTGACTCTTAGCCCAGTTTTGCGACCGCACAATTCATTTGCAGTCCGCATATTGCTGAAAGGTCTACTAGATTTTCCTTTTTGGTTTGCGGCTACATATGGAATTTTCCGGTCCACAATTTCTTCTGCGGCCGCAGAATTCCTTCTGTGGACCGTACATTTATGCTTCTGCGCCCTTTATTGCCTTGTGCTTCAGAACACTCCTTTTTGAGTCGGATTTCATCTCAGGAGACCAAGATTCCAACATTCCTATAATTTGCACAATTTCATTAGTTTCGGGAACACAATTCAATACTTTCAGACTAAAACAAAAACTAAAAGGTGCTAATAAGCATTCAAAATTCCCACTTATCAGTCCTCAGTTGCACAATATCACAAAAAACACAAATAAGCAAGATCAAAAGTAGAGTGGATGTCAAAAATTCCCTCAAAATCACTGGGGTCGTGGCAAGGACTGTCACCTCAGTCCCCGAAAGTGCTGGCTCCTCTAGTGCGACTCCAGACGCGTCAACTGCCTTAATTAGCTCGCCCTCCCAAATAGGAGGAAAATCAGTCACAACATTCCCCACACCCGCTACAGTCATAACAGCTAGTCCTGGCTCCTCCGCAATAGTGCCATCAGTAGCACTGAAATCAACCTTTTGGAGCTCCTTTGTATTAGTCTATAATTTTATTTCATGTTAGTTAGTACAATTCAAGAATAAGTGGGGAAGGCAACATCTAAGTCATGGCTAAGTCGGCCGCGAATGACACTAGTCTTAGAAAGAATACAATTGAAGTTCATAAGACACCCAACGACCACCCCACACTTAAGAGAAGTTTGTATTGCCAATAGAGGTAGGTTAGTTACTCAGACTTCACTAAACCTCACCAAAACATTCGAGAGGACTCCCATGGGGGAGGGAGGAGTAGACGAAAAAGAAACAAAATGAGAGAAAGAGAGTTCTTACCTTGGGGAGATGGGGCGATGGGGGAAGAGTGAGGAAGAAAAATGGGGAGGGGGGTTGTGCGCTTTTGAGTGAGAGAGGGAAAAGTTTTTATTTTTATTTTTATGTTACTTTATTTTTGTGGTAAAACAACTAGAAACAAAAGTAAAAAAAAAGAATAATAAAATAAAAAATACTTGGGGGTCGTGCCAGGCCCGTGCGACGCGTGACCTGGAGACGCGTCCCGTTGCTGTCTCAGTTGTGGCCAGTCCCAGTCTCGCAAAGCTATGAGCACTTCGATTCCCCCCAAAAATTTTCTCCTTAACATTCTCGATCTCAGTCTCACGAAGAGACCTCCACTTCTCTGCTGCCTCCACACGTTCTTTAACGAAATAGCAACTAGAGAGAAACAATAAAGTTGGGTTGCCTCCCAACAAGCGCCTGATTTAAAGTCACGGCATGACAAAACCAATTCTTAAGCATCTTTTAAGGCAATTGAGGACTTATGATGATCCACGTCACCACCCCAATAATGCTTGACTCTTTGCCCATTGACCAAGAATGTCCTTTCCGAATTTGGTGCTCTTAATTCTATAGCCCCGTATGGTGTCACACGCACTATTTCAAAAGGTCCAGACCATCTCAATTTTAATTTAAACAACTTCAACCTAGAATTGAATATCAATACCAACTAGCCCGACTCGAAATGGCGATGCTTGATATGCTTGTCATGCCACCTTTTGGTCTTTTCTTTATATAACTTGATGTTCTTATATGCATTTAGCCTGAATTTATCTAGCTCATTTAGTTGGAGCAATCTCTTCTCACCTGCCAATTCCATATCCATATTGAGCTTTTTGGCGGCCCAAAAGGCCTTGTGTTCTAGCTCAACTGGAAGGTGACATGCTTTTCCATAGACCAACTTGTAGGGAGAGGTCCCAATATGTGTGTTATATGCAGTCCTATACGCCCATAGAGCATCCTCCAACATTGCAGCCCAGTCTTTCCTATTTGCACTGACTATTTCTCCAAGATTTGCTTTATTTCTCTATTCGATACCTCTGATTTCCCACTTGTCTGAGGGTGATATGCGGTGGAAACTTTATGCTTGACCTCGTATTTAGCTAGAATGTTGTCAAAAGTGTATTGCAAAAATGCGTACCTTCATCACTTATCAAAGCTCGAGGGGTCCCGAAACGTGTAAAAATGTTCTTCTTGACAAAATTAGCTACCACCTTCGCATCATTAGTAGGTAAAGAAATGGCCTCTACCCACTTAGACACGTAGTCCACTGCTAACAAGATGTATTTGTTCCCTCTAGATGATGGGAATGTTCTCTTAAAATCGATCCCCCAAACATCAAAAATCTCCACCTCAAGAATGTTCGTGAGCAACATCTCATTCTTTTAGTGATTGTCCCAGTTCTCTGACATCGATCACACTTTTTCACAAATGAATGGGCATCTTTAAATAGAGTCGGCCAATAGAATCCCGATTGCAGAACTTTTGCAGCTGTTCTATCACGCCATGATGTCCATCATAAGGTAAGGAGTGACAATCGTACAAAATCTGATCTACCTCCTTCTCCGGAATGCATCTCCTCACCAGTTGGTCAACATATTGCTAATACAAGAATGGCTTATTCGAGAAATAGTAGTTCATGTCGGTGAAAATGGCCATCATACACCTTTGAAAAGTCGCCGGTGCATTGAATAACCCGGATGGCATCCTTTTAAAAGCGAAGGTGTCGTAGGCACAAGTAAATATAGTCTTTTCCTGATCCTCTGGTGCTATAACTATCTGGTTGTAACCGGAGTAACCATCAAGAAAGCAATAATATTCATGCTCGGATAGCCTGTCCAACATCTGATCAAAGAAAGCGAGAGGGAAGTGGTCCTTGCGCGTATCCTTGTTGATTTTCCTGTAATCGATGCATACCCTCCAGTCTGTCACTGTTTATGTAGGTTATCAACTCATTTTGCTCGTTTGCCACAATTTTCATGCCTCCCCTTTTTGGCACGCACTACACATAACATATCCAATTGCTGTCAGAAATAGGAAATTTGATCCCAGCGTCCAGCCACTTGATAACCTCCTTTTTTACTACCTCATTCATAATATTATTTAATCATCTATGTTTATCCACACTAGGTCTGTGCCCATCCTCCAGGAATATTTTATGCATGCGAAATGACAGACTAATTCCATTGATATCAACAATAGTCTAGCCAATGGCCCCTTTATGTTCCCTCAGAACCCGCAGCAACTTGTCCCCTTGCACATGTGATAACGAGGATGATATAATAATATGTAAGGACTCCGAAGCACCTAAGTAAGCATACCGAAGATGGGAAGGTAAAGGTTTGAGATCTAATTTTGGAGCCTCCTCAATAGATGGCTTAGGTGGTGTCAAAGCCAATGACCTGTGAATTTCCTCAAATCTCTTCAACCCATTGACATATTGACATGTCATGTTCAAAACTTGTTCAAGTTCTTCCACCAGATCATCCTCCTCTTCTTCTTCATCAATTAAAGCTCTTCTCAGAGGATCTTCAGACACCAAGTATGGCATTGTGCCTGCCAATTCCTTATCCACAGTTGTGATCATGGCTAAATCTTCATCGTGTGCAGGCAATTTGAGCGCTCGGTATACATTGAAAACCTCCATTTTGTCACCCACTCTCACGGTGATTTGTACTTCACATACATCAATAATTTCTCGGCCCATGGCTAGCAATGGTCATCCCAAAATAAATGGGACTTCCTGATCAGGCTCGTAATCCAGGATGACAAAATCAGTTGGGAATATGAATGTTCCCACTTGGAGCAGCACATCTTCAATGACCCCCTCGGCGCTGGCTAAGGATATATCTACCAATTGTAATACCACCGTAGTCAGTCGAGGGTCTCCCAACCCTAGCTGTCGAAACACAAACAATAATATCAGGTTTATGCTTGCCCCAAGATCACACAATACGCGCCCAACCACATGTTTCCCCATTGAAATTTGAATTGTGAAGCTTCCTGGGTCCTTCAATTTAGGAGGCAACTTATTCTGAATTCTGGAACTACACTTCTCAGTGAGTGCTACAGTCTCGAACACAGTTAGCTTGTGCTTGTTTGCTACAATTTCCTTGATGTACTTTGCATTCTTTGGCACTTCATGCAAAATGTCCACCAATGGGATGTTAATGTGCACTTGTTTTAAAATATCAAGGAACTTCTTGTACGCTGCATTATCCTTCACTTTCTGCAATCTTTGAGGGAACGCAGGTGGTGGCTTTAAAACTATTGGTTGTGGTTGCTTTGCTACAGGCTCTTTAACTGGCTTCTCTGACTCTTTTATAATTTCCGATTCAACTTCTGTGGTTGGTTATTTTTCACTAAACGTCACTTGCTTTCTCTTCTTTGATGGGGCTTCTTCTAATTCTCTCCCATTCCTTAATGACACAGCATTAATAGGAGCCTTAGGATTAGCCTTAGTGTCGCTAGGTAATGCTCTCGCTGGTCTGGTGTTCTGGGCAATATCAAGTTGCCCCATCTGTTTGGGCCTACTGGTCAGCCATAAACATTTTTAGCATATCCTCGATGTGACTCATCAAATTTGTAGGTTGCTCAGCCTTTGGTGGTATATATTGCTGTTGAGGAGGTTTTCGCTTGTACTGATTCTGAGCACTTTGGGTTCCACCCCAAGAGACGTTTGGGTGGTTCCTCCTGTTAGGATTGTAAGTGTTACCATATTGATTCTGATTAGCTTGGCCTCTATTAGCATTCCCCACAAAGTAAACTGACTCTGGATTCGCTGGACAGGTATCACTGGTATGGCCCTCGCCGGAGACTTCGCAGAATACCTGCACTTGTTGTATTGGTTGAACCTGTTGCATTGGTTAAAACTTCTGTTGGTTCTCAACCACATTCATCTTACTGATTTGATTTGCTAAAGATTCTACTTGTGCAGATAGTGCTGATACAACATCCAATTCAAGTACCCCGGCAACTTTATGGGCTGTGTGTTTACCTGCTTCCCTTGCCAATCCGGGTTGCTTTTGAAAAACTTGTTCAACAACGCACAGAGCTCATCAAAGTTCTTTTCCAATACTTGACCACCAGTTGCTGCGTATACCACTACTTTTATTTCAGGATGCAGACCTTCAATAAAAGTGTGAGCCAGTACCTCGTTGGTTTGATTATGGTGTGGACAGTCTTTTAGTAGCCCCTTCAATCGCTCCTAGGCTGCATAAAGTGATTCACCTTCTCTCTATTTGAATGCAACTATCACACTTCTTATCTTTGCGGTTTTGCCAGAAGGAAATAACATAGCCAAGAATTTGCAAGCCAAATCATTCCACGATGCAATAGAGTTAGCTGGCTCAGATTTCAACCATCTCTTGGCATGTCCCAACAGAGAAAAAGGGAACAATGTGATCCTGACATAATCAGATGTGACCCCGTTAGTGATATAAGTATCACTAATCTCCAGAAAATTCAGAATATGTTGTTGGGGGTCCTCGTGTGGTAGTCCCATAAACTGTCCATTTGCATCAAGTAGATGGATGATGCTCTGCTTAAGCTTGAAATGCCGAGTGATCCTTGGATTGACGATACTGGAGGTGATATTAGCAATACTGGGCATAGCCACCTCTTGTACCTCCAGTGGGTGTTCATCTGCCACTTCAACAGGAAGTTGAATGAGAGCTTGTAGATTATTTGCTTCCCGAGCTTCAATTATCACGGCTAAGTGTTGCCCTAAATCACACATGCAAGTATACACGGTCAATCAAGTAATAAAGAGTGAGTAGAGTATCGTTCCCACGAGGACTTGTGATCAATTATCAACTAAATCAAGCAATTTCTAATTTATTGAGTCAAGAATAATTTCAAGGTGATTTTTGTTTGATTAATTATACTAATGATAATTGCAAGTAAAAGAAAAACTAATGAACTAGAACACTTAGCACCAAAGATTTAATTCAATGAGAAATAATATTCCAGGGTCATGGTTATGTAACAATCCTATTGAATTCTTCCATTAACTTGACTTATTAATTTATCTGGGTTATTAACCTGCAAGGACAATAATAGTCGTAGAAATTTGACATTTTTTACTCGCCTAATCAATTTATTCTAAACCCTATATTCCTATGAGATTAAAGATTAAACGATCGCATTAATAATCTCTTGCAAAATTGGCTAAGCACGACACATAGGTATATTTCTATCCGTATGCACAAATCAATTCCCCAATGACTGGGTTCAAGATCGTGCTCTATTCAATTTTACTGCAATCAAGAATTACCTCTTTCAAGTTCAACTCAAGATTCATATATAGTATTTTACTGTTAGCCAGGTAGTAAAATAATTAGGCTCAGGATATGAATAAATAGCCCATAATATTAAATTAAATCATCAAATCAATCTCCGAATATCAACATTCATGTAAAACCATAACCCTAGAACAAATGAGTTTAGCCACGCATAATCATGGTAAAAATCTCAATTAATTTCCAAGAATACATAAAAATCATCAATAGAAGGGAAAAATAAGAACTCAAGATGAATTCCACGGTTTCCGAACTCTGTTATGGCTTTTCTCTGCTTCCAAGTGTGTTCTTGCCTCCCCAAAGTCTTCTCTGCCTTCAAAAAGTGGCTAACTCTCATATTTATATGGTTTAGGGTTTAGTTGGGCCGAATTTGGCTTCTCCTATTTCGGATTGGAAAAATTGATTTTTTCTGCTCCGGTCCCGGTCTGGCGAAGTGAACCTCTCTTCGTTGTTCAGGACTTTTCTTGTTTCTTCTGCTCTGGTCCAGGTTTGGCGAAGTGAACCTCGCTTCGCTGTCTTGGACTTTTCTCTTCAGCTCTTTTTTCACCAATTTTTCTCCATTTGATCCTTTTCCGCGCAAGTTTGTTCCTACACATAAGAAACACGTAATTAGCATATTTTCACTTAATAAGAGGTGAGAACTCCCGCAAATCACATAATAAATGGCAAATACACTCACGCAAAATATGCACTTTTCACCCTTTATCACTAATCGAGTAGGAATTCTTCCCCCTTGCATTAGAAAGATCAACAGACAATAGAAACAGACTATGCAAACATAAACCCGATGGTGCACCCATCCCAAAGAGGTAATGGCTAGCTCATCATGATGAAGGCGGTATTATTTTCTATGCCCATAGCGCTCGTATAGAAATTCAAATGAGAAGTATGATTTCTTCAGATAGACCAATTCATCATTCTTCTTAAAACTCAACATCTTTAGAAAACCGCGTAGAGTGTGATTCTCTGGCACCAATAGTCCTGGACTATCCCATGGTAATTTGGCAAAACCCCATATTTCTTCCAAGAGAGGAGTCATTTCTATATTGCCAAATCGAAAAACAACTCTCTTCTCATCCCAGAACATAGTAGCAGCCTCGATCGGTTCCCTATTTGGTCGAATGTTCAGCAAGGATGGCAGGTCACCAAGTACTCTCCTCACATGGTTTCTATCATAGGGCGCAGGTCTTTCCGCCAGTCAATTAGCAAAGGCGGGATATTCTAGACCATACCAAACCTGGAAATTTCGTGCTTCATTTTCTGCAAACAAATAAAAGTTAGCCCTTTCCCCCTCCGGATTCGACTATATACACAATAATGATCCGCATGCTGGCACGTTTTTCTCCAAGTAATGCACATAATATGATGGTGTCCCTTGGGGATTATGGAAATCCCGTTGGCCTTTGGACAAGGTACATCTAAACGGGTTGCTAGGTCAATGACGTCTCAATCTGTACTAGGTTTAACATGATGCATGTACATTTCAAATCGGAGTATGGTTTCTAGAAAGGTCTAGACTAGTACTCTCAAGCGGACAACTTAAGAGGGAAAGGCATGGGACCGTCAACTGCACCGTTGATCGACTAGTCTACCGCAAACAAGCCATTTCGATTGAAAAAGGGTGTTTTTAGGGAAAATGTAGACACTGATCAAGCGCCGCTATATTGATAATAAGCATGTGTGGAGTATGATGTTGAAAGCATGAAGTATGCAAAATATTAACACATTGCCAAATATTTACATGATGAAAGTGTATAAAACAGTAAATAATATGGTAAAGATGAACATGAAGAGGAAAAGAAAAGAAAGACAAAAGAGAGAAGTCAGTTTAACTCATGAAAATGTACGAGAACATAATGAAGCAAATTAGGAAATGGGGATGGGAGAGACGTGATATAGTAGTCTTAGACAAGATGAAGGAAATGGAGAGAGGACGTACATGTCATAGCAATACAGGAAAACAGGGAGGGGATGTTTATGTCATAACAATTTAGATAAATAAAGGAAAATAAGGGAAGAGATATGCATGTCATAGCGATTCAAACAAATGAAGAAAATAAGGTAAGGGATGTACATGCCATCAAATAATCCACACAAGTCAACTTCGTTATGGTAAGAGCCTAAGTGTAAATTACCAGTAGAGTCTCCATGCTGCCGCACCCCGTTTTCTTGCGAAAGCGAGTTTCAACATGGGATAACTATTTTAAATGGGTATTAAAAGAGAAGAGTCAATACCTAATGATTTTGAGGTGCGTTAGGGCACCTATTTGCAAATAACTTTGTTTAACTAGTCCACGTCACCAAAGTTCAGGTAAGGGCTGAAATTAACTCTAAGAGAAGGGGTTAGACACTCTTTGAGGTCCACAACTGTGGGTCCCGACCAAAGTTTACACTATGTGGGATTATCGGATTACAATTGTCCTAAGTGATCATATAAGTGAGGTAAGACAAGGAATTTAAAGGTTCTATTATGAACGAGTGCAAAGAAAATCGGGCAACAATTAAACTATATAGATAATCAATACAAGTCCTTAGAGGTCATAAGGTACAACTTAATTATTCTATATTCAAAGACTAAGTGTGAACAATGGACATATAAAGGAGGGGGTTCCTATGTTTTATAGCCTAAAGGATCACCCCGTGCGACATAAATATTACTTTTCAACTCCCATAAGGTAAGGGTTACTCATATTATTCAGCAGGCATAAACTATCATCTCATGTTACCCAATTACTATGTTAAAGTTTTTTACCTGAAAGCGCTCTAATTCAATTATAGGTCATGTCCTATACGTGCACTACCCGTCCCATGCCTATGGTACAAGAGGCTTTGGACCTACTATTTGGGTGGTTCTAGACTCTACTTAGGATGCTCAAACTGATAAAACTAGGCATGCATTCAAAACATATAAGACTACACATAAAGTCAATAAATGGCTCAAGTTGGCCTCCACACATACCCAACAAATTACACGCATGCAGATTCATACATTAGGCGGCAGACAGTTTTAGAGTTAAGAAGCATGAGAGCCGTTGAATCCTATAGGCATGATTTCTATGTAATTCTGATTTCCAGTATTGTACAGGCAGCACTACAACTTTAGAGTAAAATATTGGCAGATTAAAGGGATTACAGGTCCTGTAGACATGATCTCTAATTATTTGCACAATGAGGTGGTGCAACTGTTTGAAAGCCTAGGATTAACATCATCAATTTCATA